ATCACTATCATCATCATGAATATCATCATTATTATTATTATCATTATATTTATTACTATTATTTTTTTATTTTTGAGGTCGTCCAGAATGCCTTTATGGACGATAAAAGAGTGTTCAAACCCTTGCTTGTGTAAGACTTGTTGTGACCATACCCACTAAACTGGCAAGACCTTTTTTTTGAGACACCCAGCTCAGAGTTTGCTCTCGCATTTACACTCCAAGCCAGGGCCATGGAAACTTCGCCCCTGGTTTAGGCTTTATTTAGTGATTTCGTTACCAACACGTCTTGTAACTTTTGCGTTCTCTAAGGTATCTAGTTTTTGTCATGCATCCAAACTGCTCTTTTTTTGTTTTCTTAGAGTAAAGGAGCAAAATAATAAAAAGTTGTTTCTCAGCGCAAGCCCAAATCTGGCATCCCTCAACAAAGGTGCATGGAGCGCACCCACCGCAGAGCCCATGGGGTGGAAACCTAGGCCACCGGCGTACAGCCGCTCATCGGTAAGAAGGTGACAAAGCGAAGTGGCCCTTAGGAGCCTGCCTACATTCAAGCAATCACGCAATCCTCAATACCGCATACTAATCACCCTGCGACATCACCTTGAACGCCTAGCTTCTAGAAAAAAAGTAATATAATAAAAAATAAGAAAAAAAAAAAAATAAAAAAAAAAAAAAGTCAATCCTATGGTATGGGTACAGTGGGTGTGCAACCTTGACTATCNTAAAAGAGCAGACCGGAGATCAACTAAGTATCTTTTTTTTTCCTCGTCTTTTTAAAACTTTATGCCTTTAAATTTTTTCAAATTTATGAAGCATTAAAAAAAAAAAAAAATGATTGAGAACTATTTTTTAGATATCAATAGCTTTCTTCTTTTTAAATGTTTATAGTTGTTTTAATCTACGACCACGCAATAAATTATTTTAATTTTGATTTGTCACGATACCATTGGATTAATTAAAAATAAGTGAAGATGGCTGATATTGATAGTTGAGGTGCACACGTGAATGTGAATCGTATATTCATACCCAAAAGTGTCAAAAGCTCAATTTGTAAACAATAACTTTTGAGCAATAAATCCAATGAATTGTCAATGTGCTTCTGGTTTGAGCCCGAATGATTGTTCAACACAAGGTGGTTCTCGAAGAAATAACAAGTATTGCAAATACCTCAAGCCGTTTTTCTCTTTCGTTGTCTCGGTTCTGTTGGGTAAATAATCATCCCATATTTTTGTTTCGATAGAAAAATGCTTCAATTGAGTTTCAGAGCTCATATTGTGAAGTATACATTATTGGACCAAACGTTTTTCAGCCTTGTCTATGTCTCATCTGTGCGAAAAGTACTCGACGAGCAATTCATTCGAAAACGTGAGATCAGATTTGAGTACCTTAAGGAGTAACTTGAACCTACTAATGGTATAATATTGTCTCAGCAAGTATCATCGTATCTGATAATCATGAAAAAAAAAAATTAATTCATCTCGTGCACATTTCAAATTTGAATCCAAGGAAGAGGTAAGGATATTGATGGAATCGAAAGATGAGTTCAAAAACCAACTGACGGAGGTTAGTCTCGTGGTACCCAAACTGTCAGAAGCTATTTTCCATTTGAGGACTGAAATTTCTGAGGGTGATTTTCATGACATGCAACCACATTTAACTAAATTGATGGATTTTATTCAAACAAATCGTTGTACACGCCTTTGTCGTTTCAACAGTAATCGAAACGCATGCAAACAAACTAGAACAGTCAGCCGGTAACCTCAAGGATTTGGTTAGAACAGAGCTAGAAGCTTTCAGCGAAGACCACGCCGGGAAAACCGATTACGCTCTCGAGCTGTTAGGTTCGATGGAAATACACTTTTGCCGGTCACAAGCTAACCATTCATAGATTGTTATTCACGCAGGTGGCACGGTTTTGACGGTTAGAGATACTCAGACTTACGACGCCGGTGCACCACAACTCAAGATTTTCGGCATGGCCATTTGTGCGCAGCAGAATACGCCACGAGCGATTATACAGGTTACAATCGACTATAATTGTTTGAATATTTGATGCAATTGCAAAATGGTTATAAATGTTGTGAAATGTGAATGTTTACGTCTGTTGATAGGCAAATACGCTGCCGGGAGAGTGCTGGGCCATTAAGGGTGACAAAGGCGTTGCGGTGATTCAGCTCATAGGGCCAGTGCGCGTTTCTGGATTCAGCCTTGAGCACATATCGGCGACGATCGCGCCAACCGGGGAAACTAGCACAGCTCCAAAGGATTTTTCAGTATGGGTTAGTTTGCACCAAACATGCCGTAGATCAATTTTTCTTATAATACCGAAACACATATTTTTTCTATGGTGAATTAAGGTATTTTTGTACTAAAAGTATTTTCTTTGGTGTTCAAAAAAATGTGCACAATTAATTTTGTTTATAAAAAGAGTATAACATTTTTATTTTAAATAGGGATTGAACGATATCGACGATACAAATGGATTTTTGTTTGGTGAATACAGATACGATAATTCTGGAGTGCGAGTTCAGTACTTTCAAGCAAAGGTATTTTTAACATTAAAAAATATTGTTCAGAAGTTTACCAACAAACCTACTTTTTCCACAGAACGAACCTAACAAATCTTATGAAATCGTCGAACTAAAAATACACTCGAATAGTGGTAATACCAAATATACGTGTATTTATAGATTTAGAGTTCATGGTACTCTTACATCCCAACAACGAGGTATAAGTTGATTTAAAAAAAAAATATTTTTTGAGTATTTCTATTACAACTATATTTGTAACTAATACAATACCGGTATGTTCTAAAATGTACAACAATGAAACTAACATATTCATGAGTGATTTTCATGGATTTTTTAATAGAAAATTATTTAATGAGTTTTTTGTAAAAATATTAAAGTGTAATATCCTTTGTAATCTACTATATTATTTTAAAAGTATATTTTATAATAAAATTTTTGATTTAGAATCAAATTTCTTTTAATGAAATAGGCCGGAAAAAAAAGTTTTAGTCAAACAAAATTTAATAAGCTTCAAAATATGAACTATTGATGTTTAATTATTGTATTTTACGGATGAAAGTCTAACTCACTCCAAGTTTCAAGGCTGACTGACTGATGTGGAAAAATATGTTGGAAGAACAACAAAAGTCTATTGATTTTGTAATAACTGTTTATAAATAAGCCTTCATTAACTAATAAGCCAATGACGTTCTCCAGTGACAAGAAATATTGAAGTACAAATTGATTCAATTTCAATTAGATCGGTAAAACCCTTAAGTCAAGAGTTAAAAAAATAAAAATCAGCCTTGTCATTACTTGTTTTTACTATCATTTATACATATAGAATAATAAAACTCACCTGGGCTATAATGCATCTTGACATTGGAGCACAAATATAGAGCCACAAATAAAATGTAGCATTAAAGTATATTTGATACATGTAACGTACTGGTATGTCTATGAATATGGTACTTTTGTTATTATTAATATTATTATCATTATCGACATTAAGAATATCATTTTTATCATCGTCATAATTATTATTATTAGCGTAATGGTTTTATTCTTAATTAAAAACATAAATATTATCATTGTTATTTTAATCATTGTCATTATAAGTTCTGACATTATTCTCTTTACTATTATGATTACTTTTGTTATTATTAATATCATTAAGAATATGATTATAACATTTACTTTTACTATGACTATTATTGTCATTCCTATAATTATAAACCTATGGGTTCTCATCATTATTGACATAATTATCATTTTTTTTTCTCATCACTTTTATTACTATTATCGGGATTATTATTGTTATCAGTGTTATTATTATTACGATCTTAGCCATTTTAATTATTATTATTTGTATAATCATCATTGTTATTTTTCATAGTGTTATCATATTCTTCACCACTATTATTATTAAAATCATTTTCACCATTGTAATTGTAATTATTGTCATTATTGTCATAATAAGTGTCATTATCATTATTATCTTTTTTATTATCACTATCATACTTATATATTATGGAAATCCGCTTCAGTGATTTTCTTTTTTGTTTCGCTTTCTATTGTTGTATAGGTTAAGAAGCGGTCCTCGAAATTATATCTTAATACTTTTAAGAAATAGTTTGGTCTGCTTCATGTGTGTTCTGGAGCATGAGGCGTGTCCTTGCACCTTGCAAAGTTAATTGCATTCTTAATATCTAAAGTCACAAAAAAAATAAGGGGTATTGCTTTATAGCATATGCTTCTTGTGCTCTAAATTGCGCTTTTACTACTTTTTCTACTGCTTTTATGGTAGACCTACCTTTACTGAATCCAAACTGCCTGTCAGATATGTCTCTGATGTTATGTATGGCTTGTAGAGGACGGGCCTGGAGCAGCTTTTTCTTTAACTTTTTAGGCGTGTTCAATATACGTAACGACTAAAGTAACGACGGAAAAAAGGCTTTTTTTGCCTTTAAGAGGTCGGTTTAATAGGTTTTACAGCAATTGTGAGTGAATTGCCACCACTGTCTGAATGACTTCTGCCAGTATGCTATCTGATCCCGGAGCTTCAACGTTTTCAAGCAATCTGGCTGCTAGCTTCAGTTTTTTTTTTTAAATAGAGGTACATCTTATAAAAGCTCAAAGTCTGTGTGATCCCTAAATTCTGAATGCGTTGGAAATAGCGTATCCTTGATATGCCTTATAGTATCCACGTCTTTGTTTGCAGACGGTGCCAGTTTTTACAGTTTTCTTATTACTATATGGTTTGCTGTGCCCCAGGGGCCGTTATTTACATTTCAGCATAGAGCCGGCTGGCACTACCTTATGCTTATTTCAATATCACCTCGCATCGTCTTTCTTGTAAGCTGGCTCTTGTAGTCCCTTAGTCTGGGCTCTAGTCTGTTTCTGGCGTTCTAATAGAGGCATCTGTGTTCAAGACATCGATTTTATAATCCTAAAATTCTTTTGTTCTATCAGTTAGTTAAGCATTTGCCATTCCATCTTGTTTTCTAGGCATAGAAGCTCTGCTTGCGATTTTTAGAAGTCGCATAGTTGATTCGGTAAGCATTTTTACTTTTTATACTGTGTTAAGGTACCGTTCACTGCTTCAAATAGAGACGATGTCATTCTTGAATTTATGTGGAAGTCGTTTGGCTTATTCTTATTCAGCTTATTAACATTTTATCTTGTTTTTTCTGCAATGCTTTCATTTTTGTCTAATTGGTTAACCAACCTCCAGTTGTTGTGTGCTTTCAAATGTTGAAAAGCATAGCACTTCCATCCTAGACGCCTTTGTAGCATCTTGCGAAATTTGTAAGGCCAACGCCAGCCACCTAAACCATCACCAGATCAGAACTAAAGTCAGATTCCCTCTCAGAGTTAACCACCTCAAGGCTGTTGTTTTTATTGGCGTTACCCATGTTTGATTTCATTTAGAGACTAACTTTTTGTTTTTTTACAAGTATTTTTCCTCAAGATTTATGTCTGCAATAACTATTTTATTTCATTTCAACCACCAGCGTAAACGACCGCTGCAGCTCCACGGAACCATACTTCTGCAAAAAGCTTGCCTCCATACGCCAACGAAAGAGCATATACTCAAAAAGCTGACTGCCTCAGCTCAGAAACATTTTTATCATCGTTACTGTTCTTATTATAATTATTATCAATAAAATAATCTTTATCATTATAATTGTTAATGTTATTATACTTACCATCATTATAATTATCAATATTTATATTACTATAACAATTAAGTTCGTTTTTATTATTGTTCTTATCATTATAATTATGATTAATATAATTATTTTTATTATCATCATCATCATCATCAACATTATTATTATCGTCGTCATCATCATCATCGTCACAATCATCGTCTTCGTCATCGTCATAATCATCGTCATCGTTATCGTCATCATCATCATTATCATTATCATTATCATCATTATCATCATTAACGTCATTGTTATTATCATTATCATCGTCATTATTGTCATCGTCATCGTCATCGTCATTGTCATCGTCATTGTTAATGTCATCGTCATTGTCATCGTCATTAACATCATCGTTATCGTTATCATCGTCATCATCATCATCGTCATTATCATTATCATCATCATCATTATTACTATTATCATCATCTTCATTATCATCCTTATCATCGTCATCGTTATCGTCATTATTATCATCGTCATCGTCATAATCGTCATCATCATCATCGTCATTGTTATGATTATCATTATCATTATCATTAATCATTATCATTATTATCATCATCATTATCATCATCATCATTAACGTTACCGTCATTATCATCATCATAATCATTATCATCGTCATCGTCATCGTCACCGTCATCAATCATCATCATCATCATCATCATCATCATCATCATTATTATTATTATCGTGATCATCATTATCATTATAGTCATCTTTATCATCATCATTAAGATCATCATTAACATCAACATTATTATCATCATCATAATCATCATCATAATAATTATTACTGCTGTTACCATAATTATTATCATCATTAAAATTTTTTTAATCACCATCATCATCATCATAATCACTAACATTATTATTATCAAAATTATGAACATTATTAGTGTCATCATTATCATCATTATCATCATTATAAACATGAACATAATCATCATCATCATTATTATCATTATTCATTTTTTATTGTTATCATAGTCATCATCATTATCATAAATATTATCAACATAGTTATTATTATAAATATCGGTGACACCGTCAACATCCCCATTACGATCACCATCATCATCGATGTTATTAGTATCATTACTATCATTGATAGCATCACCATCAGCAAAATTATTATCAACATCAATATCGTCGTTATCATCATCGTGATCATTAAATATTATTACTATTATTGAAATTAATATCATTATCATGAAGACCATCTCCATTGTCATATTAATTACTATTACTATCAATATCAGTCTCATCATTATTATCAAAATAATTATTATTATCATCATCACCATTATCATTGTTTTTATCAACATGATCATCAGCATCATCACCATCATCATCATCATCATCATTATCATCATCATTATAGTTATCATTATTATTTTTATAAATGTTAACATAGTCCTCATCTTGATCATCAATAATAGTAACATTATTATTATTATTATCGTTATCGGTAACACTATCACTATACTGATAACTATCACCATCACCATCAATATTTCCTTTATCAAAATTATTACTATTAGCATCATCATCATTTAAATCATTATCTCCATCATCATCAACATCATTATCATCAATACAATCCTTATCATTATTATTATAATTATCAGCATAATAATCATTATGAAGATAATCATCGCAAATATTATTACCATCGTCATCATTATTTTTATCGTTATCATTATTATTATCATCATTATCATCATTATGATCATTAACGTCATCATTGTAATGATAACAATTATAATTATCATCACCACCATCATTATTATTTATTATCATTATTATTATCATCATCATCATCATCATTAGCATGATCATCACCGTTATCATAATAACGAACTATTTTGTCTTTATCATTATAATCGTCATTATAACTATTATTTTCACTATCCTATCATCATGATAACAACCATCATCATTACCATCATCTTCATCATCAACATCGTGTTTATCATAATACTCGAAATTATTACCGTCGACATTATAATTATCA